AAAAAAAAGTGGAGACAAAAAGTATTGCAATTGAGCCAATATTTCAAATTGGTCCAATGTCACATGTGGCTTCAATATTCCACAAAGCATGACTCAACTACCAAAGGACACAAATTAAGCACAGTCCTTCAACTTGTGGTAAGATTTACTTTTAATTATTTTTTCACATTTAATATTTGTTAATGAAAATGTCAAATTCATTAAAAAAATATATAATAGTTATGTTGAGAGCACTAGATTAACAATCAAATCATACATTACACACTTTGTGGTAGGGTCAACATAATCATCATTAAAGCTTGACCAAAAAAGAACAACACCACAATGCACACAAGATAAAATTAAAAACTATAACTCATATATAATTTATTTGGAATCAATGTGTAACAGTAACAGAGTAATAAATTGAAACGCCATACGTTTCATCTTTCTCCAACCAGGAGACGTTACAGTGAGCAAACACAGACACAAACGGAGATAGAACAAAAAGNAAAAAAAACGAAAAAGAAAAAAGGAAGCGAGCACATGATTAATTATACGATTAACGAAATAGCTTAAGATAAAATTAAGATTGAGTATGGATTTATTAAGGTTGTTGTTCATAATCTTCCGATTCATAGAATTTGCTGTATGGGTGTTTGGAGTTGTATTTGTTGTTATTAAGATCGTAATGGAATTTCCCTCCTTCTACAGACCTGGTATCGCTCATTCCCTGCGGCAGATGCCATCTCTCGCTGTCCAGTTGCTCGCGTTCCGGCCCATTGTTGTTGGCCCACACGTCTGGCTGGTCGTACGTGTTGGGCCACTGCAGCTGGGCCTGGGCCGACTCTTCTCGCGGCCCGTACTTTTTGAACCTGTCGTTCAATCTGTCAAAGTCCTGCTCGTTTTTGGGCTGGGCCTCCACGTCCTCGTCCCAGTTGTCATCCCATTCGGACAACGTCGGATCGGACGACGACGTCGTTTCATAAGGCTTTTCTCCTTTCAACTCTTTCTTCTGCCGCTTTTCAATTTGGTATTGATTCCATATATAATTCTTCTCTTCCGCGGTGAGACCGGTGAAGTCCGGTTTGTCTAATGGTCGGCTTTCTTTTGGTTCGGAATCTTTATGATCAGCGTTATTGGAGTAGAGGCCGTACGGATTACTGTTTTCTTGCTTAAACTGTGGGTATTCTTGCAGTTTCTTGAATTTTTCGAATCTTATGGAGAGGGATAAGGAGAAAGAGATGATTATTATCAGGCACTGGAATTGCTTGCCAACAGTAGCCATGTTAATTAATCAATATATAGCTTCTTGGGTTTGTAATATATTTTTGTTTTGTGCTGCCAATTTTGTGTGTCCTCTTATAAGGCTAGGGGGTAACTAACTGTGTGTTTTGTGGTCAAGCAATTTTTCAATTTTCAACCTTATTTGGTGGGGGATTGATTGGATGGGGGCCCACACGCACAATAAGGCAGAGATGGAGGTACTGTAATTATTACTATTATTTTATTATTATTATTATTTTTTTTTTATTATTATTATAAATACTAAAATATAGCTACTGTTATTCAGTATTTGTATCCCGGGTCAACCATCATAATATTGTCTTGTATAGGCGTGTTGTGTATTAGTCAAAGTACATAAATACGTGCCTACGGTTGAAATTCAAGCTTAATTACACCTACTGNGATTTTGTCATCATTAATTTGATTTCATCCAGCAATCAGCATGCTCCGAGTAGTATTATTATCGGGTAATTGGTATAGAGAAGCAATAAATAGAACTTAAGGGGCGGAATGGACTTTTCGGTTTATTTGAATTTTATATCTATAAAAAATATTTTAACTCCTGTTATGTTAATTTAACCTCGTATTAATTTTATTTTGGTCTAAAATATTATTTACTGAGTTATTCATATAATTTATATGAAATATTTAGAATTTATTTTTATACTTTGAGTCGAGTACTTCATGTTTGAATTTGTGCTAATTGAATAAACGAGTTGACGTAACTCATCTCATTTAATAAACGAACAAAAATAGAAACTCGAGTTCGACTCGTAGAAATTCGGTTCGAATCATTTAATAAAAAATAAAACCCGGGCAAAAATTTAAAACCCTTACAGAGTTGATCGCAAACATTTTTTACTAAACTCGTTTTATACACAAGCCCGATTTATTGTTCCAGCTTGACTCATTTAAATGTACATGCTGTACAAGTCTAGCTCAAGGTTGTCAAATTTAACTGAATTATGTTAATTAATAACTCAATTTTAATAACATCTGTATATTTCGCAGGTGAAATAATTTTTGTAAGTCGCGCCTGAATAGAAGAGAGGGCGGAAGAAAATGCGCTTATTAGTAATTTTGAAGATGGGTCGCGAGTGCACAAAGACAAATATTCCAAATATGGTGCACCAAATTAACTCTCTTGCTATAGCTTTTTTGCTAGCTTTATGGGATTGGTGGGACACCTACATACTCATTAACGCAAAATGCATATGTCCCCAACAACAATGCCGTGTGCTCCAGACAATTCGCATGACTTTCTTTTCTCGTTCTTTCCTTCTGTTTTTTGTTTT